ACCGGTCGTAACACCATTTGGTCGTAAGTTGAGTAGGCTATATGTACAGTACTGTGAAATGATGTTATAAAAATCTTTAAGTCATATTTTATCATAATTTTCTTTCATTATTGTTATAGATCATAATTTTCTTTGTTCATGTTATGCCATTTGTATCATCTCTACACCATTTTGTTTCTTATTTTTACATTTGTCAGGTTTAAGTAAAACACTGCATTACCAGTACAACTGGTTTAATATTTGCAAAACATACAAAATTACAAAATACAGGTGCATACAAAAATACAAAATACAGGTGCATACAAAAATACAAAATACAGGTGTAAAAAATACCATAGGAAACATTTTCCCAATTGCAAAACATATCAAAATATATCAACATGTACAAAACATTTGATTGGCAGCTGGTGCTTGGCTGTGGATCGTTGATGTCGTCATCTGAGGCAGCAGTTGGGGTTACTGGAGTTGGTTTTTTCATAAACATGGTGAGCTTTGTCTGAATTCTATGTTTCTTTTTTTCTTCATAAATTTCATGATACAGATGAAACACATCGTGCGCCATCCGTTCAATCCTTGCAAATCGTTCGATGTTTGGGTCCATTGCTTCGAAATGTATAAGAAGTTTATTCAGTAAAGATAAACCATCTGATAATCCCTTAGTGGTGAACTTTCTTTCTGGCTCCTCCTCTTCTTTCTCTGCTTCTCTTCTTTCTTCTTCCGCCACTCGTTCTTCTTCCAGTTCGATCAGCTCTTCATTTGTAAGTTCTCCGGATTCTTTGTCTAGCAACTCTTCGACATCTTCCATTTCACACTCCAAAGAAAGGTCTTTAGCGAGTTTTACAATTTTTTCCCGAATTGTTTCAAGTTCATGTTCACTGTCAAATCCGTCAAAATCATTAACAGAGCGCTTAACACAATTTTTCCAGATGCCATTCATGCACTTTGTCATCACAGCCTCCCAGGCGGTAGCGATATTCTTGCTACACATCAAAATGTTGTAGTGTTTCCAAAAATCTCACAATGTTAGTTCTGAGTCAGCATCTATAGCGGTTATTGCTTGAGTGAAGGTGGTTCGGAGATAGTTGGCCTTTCATGTAGCAATCGAACCTTGGTCCGTAGGCTGGATAAGTGGAGTCGTGTTTGGCGGAAGAAAAACAAATTTTACATCTGGATGGAGATCGCCTAGATGTGGTGGGTGTCCAGGCGCATTATTGAGTAGCAATAAAATCTTGAAAGGAATATCTTTCTCCAAACAATATTCTTGAACTTGGGGAATAAATCAGTTCATAAACCAGTCTTCAAACAACTCTTGTGTCATCCATGCTTTACGTTGAGAACGAAAGTAGACGGGCAGTGTGTGCTTGTTAACATTCCTGAACGCACGCGGGTTGTCTGAGTGATAAATTAAGAATGGCTTCATCTTAAACCCTGCGATGTTCCCGCCAAGCAGCAGAGTTAGCCTATTCTTAAATGCTTTAAATCCCGGCATGCTTTTGGCCTCTTTGTGAATATAAGTGCGTGCTGGCATCCGTTTCCAAAATAATGCAGTTTCATCAACGTTGAAAATCTGTTCTGCTAGATATCCCTCGTCTATAATTAATTCATCCAGACTATCAACAAACTTACGTGCTCCTTCCTCATCCGCACTCGCTGCTTCTCCAGTCACTCGAACGCTATGCATTTGGAATCTTTTCTTGAATCTCTGGAACCAGCCAGTGCTTGCTACAAATTCTTGACTGTAATCTTCTCCAGCATGCTCCTTCAGAGTCTGAAATAGGCTTCTCGCCTTCATCTGCCCAGTAAAAAGACTTAATGGTGTCCGTTTTTGAATTTGATCTTCCATCCAAATACATAGCAATTTCTCCATTTCATGGATGGGCCCGCTTCGTTGCTTTGTTACAACTGTTGATCGCATGGGTGCAGAACGTTTCATAGCTTCATGAATTCTTTCTTTGTCTTTCAAAATCGTCGACACAATCATGTGCGATCACATTCACTTTCTTTCCTCCTTCGTACTGCTTAATTAATTACCTTCATTTTCGTGTTGAGATCGATGGCTTTTCTTTCCTTCTTGGCAGGCTGAGGTGTAGACAAAGACAATTTCCTCTTGGTAGACATCTTGGGAGGGGATTGATGAAAAATGTCCAAGACACAAAACACAAATTGCTGTACCGAGCCTGGGATAACAGTTGAAATGGTGCAGGCGGAGATGGCAGTGCTGCCGGAAGCTGGTCCGCACTGTTGTACGCCCAGCTGGGCAACATTTGCGCTGCCAGACGCGGAGCAGTCGTGGCTAGTGATTGTGGTCCTAAAGTCGAATGGTCGTAAGTTGCATAGGTCACAAGTCGATCAATACCTGTACTATTTTTTCCCCTGAATTGTTTCAAGTTCATGTTCACTGTCAAATCCGTCAAAATCATTAACATAGCACTTACCACAATTTTTCCAGATACCATTCAGGCATTTTGTCGTCACAGCCTCCCAGGCGGTAGCGATATTCTTGATACACATCAAAATGTTGTAGTGTTTCCAAAAATCTACAGCAGAGCAGTCGTGGCTAGCGATTGGGGTCGTAAAGTCGAATGATCGTAAGTTGCATAGGTCGCAAGTCAATCAATACCTGTACAGCCTAGGGGCTTAGACAATCTTCACAAAACTCAGCAAGGCATGTCTGCACTTACAGGTGATCAACACAATAACAACAACGTCTATGTATGTGTGTATATATATAAAAGATCAAGAAAATTAGGAAAATATTAACAACTGGTGAATCTACATGAAGGGTATATAATATTCATTACACTATTCCTGCCTCATTCTGTAGATTTGGAAAAATATATACATATATAAATATCTTAGGAGGAAAAAAGAAGGCAAGCCATTTTTTTTTTAATGAACAGATAACAGTTTTGTGGTTCTTCAAAAAGTTTCATATAGACTTACCATATGCCCCAGCAATTGCACTCCTAGGTTTACACACAAGAGAAATTAAAATGTGTCCACATGATAATTTGTATGTGAACATTCATACAGTTATTCATAACAGTCAAAAGGTAGAAACAACGGAAATGTCCACCAATGGATAAGTAGATAAACTGTGGTATAGTCATGCAATGGAATATTACTCAGCCATAAAAAGAAAAAAATCCTAATACATTCTACAACACGGATGAACCTTGAAAACATTATGCTAGGTGAAATAAGCCAGATGCAAAAGGACAAATAAATTATTCTGCTTATATGAGGTACCTAGAGTGGTTAAATTCGAAGGCAGAAAGAATGGTGGTTGCCAGGGGCTGAGCAGTTGGGGGAATGAAGAGGTATTGTTTATTGGGTACGTTGTTTCCTTTTGGGATGATGGAAACATTTTGAAAGTAGATGGAAGTGGTGGCTGCGCAACATTGTGAATGTACTAAATGCCACAGAATTGTTCATTTTAAATGATTAATTTATGTCTTGTGAATTTCATGTTAATAAAAAAAGAGCACATAGAAAAAGGAGGAAGATGTTCTGACTTAGACAACAGAGTGTGCATGGGAAAAGACAACATTCAGAGTGAGCACTCACACCTGTGAATCTGTGGAGTGGAACAGAAACAGAGGACCTGATACACACTGCCAACCGGTTCTGACAGATGCCAACCCAAACGGAGAATGTGAAGTCATGTAATTACAGTTTACTGGAATTCTGCAAATATGTGCAGAAAGACTAACAGTGCAGTAAGAATTAATGATAGGCTGGCTCAGTATGTATTATGTTTAAAGACACTTCTTTCTGCTCAAGAAGAGCCAACAGGAGAAAGTGAGCAAGGCTGTGATCCCAGGGGCCAAGACTAGAGGGAAAACCTGGATGCAGAGGTGACAAGCCCACGTGGCCCCAGCTGCTGCTCCACTGGGGCTGGAGAGTGTTTAAAAGCCGTCTGTCCCTTCCATTTGGAAATCACATTTGCTTGCACTCAACAAAGCTGACACAGAAAACATGACCCAGTCAGATGTGTGTGACCTAACATGTTACCCTTTCCAGAAATAACTGCACAGTCCGTTTGAGCCATTAAAAGAATATTATACTTTAACATTTTTGTTCTCAAAAATTCTTATCACCAAAGAAATTCACATTTACTATGAAAACTTTATTTATTTATTTATTTTGAGGCAGGGTCTCACTGTGTCACCCAGGCTGGAGTGCAAGGGTGCCATCTCGGCCCACTGCAGCCTTGACCTCCTTGGCTCAAGTGATCCTCCCACCTCAGCCTCCCAAATAGCTGAAACTACAGGCACACACCACGGCACCCAGCTAATTTTTTTTTATTTGTAGAGACAGTGTCTCCCTGTGTTGCTCAGGCTGTTCTCAGCCTCCTAGGATCAAGCAATCCTCTGGCCTCCACCTCCCATAGTGCTGAGATTACAGGCATGAGCCACTGTGCTCAGCTCACCATAAAAACTTTTTAAAAAGTGGGTAGACAAAAAGAATCCCCTGGAAAAAGGCCACTGCTATAATCTTGCTGCACTTCTTCCCAGCCTGAGAAGGCAATACTTAACATTAAGAAATGACTTATTCATGATGTGACTCAGAGAACCTTAGAAACTTTCTTGCTGACCCTCAAATTGTAATTGAGACTTTCTATTAAACCAATGGGTCCCAGCCCTAAGAATACCTTTCCCTGAGATGGAAGCAAATTTCTTGCACTTGAAATGTGCATCCAGAGAATCTGGTGATGAGGGAATCACAAAGAAATGGGCAGAATGATCAAGATAAATATCCATTACTTCCCTCCTTACAAACACTAAGAGAATTATTAAGTCACAAGAAAGAGCCAGAGCTGCAGTGAATAGATTTTGCAGGCCATTTCTCAGCCCCAGATGGACAGAGGAAAACAAAAGGAAATGGTGCTTCTGACATAATTTAGTGTCTGGCTCAGAAGCTGATAGAAATTGGCTTCAGCCTTTACTTCTCCTGTCACCACCTCTGGAAGGACAGAGGCCCCCACACCATACACTTACCCATCCAGACTTCCCCAAACTGCCCAGCACCGAGCCGTTTCACCAACTTGATGGACTCCCTGGGGATCTCCCAGGCATCTTTATCCCACGGCTTCTGTGGCTTGGGACTGATACAAGCCTTCTCTAGTCTTCTGCACAAGCCATCTGACTGCTCTATTTTGAAAGGGAAAATTAAGGTTAAGAAATGCAATACTTTGTACTTTACCTGTGTCTATAAAGAAGGGTTTGAACTAGAAGCCTTAGAGTGTCCAACCTGCCACAGCCTATGAACAAAATGCTTATGAGAAGCATCCTTCGCATAACTGTGATTTTTGAAATTTGTATAAGGAAACCATTTAAAACATACTTGGATTTTATTCATCAGCACTGCTAACATACATCAACAAAAACAACAGAGCCAACAGACAACCACAGGCTGATAGGTTGTCATACTTCATAAAATGTGATTTCAGATTATTATGCCCACATAAGTTTCACAGGGCACCATAGTGGGGACTCAGTCATGTCACTGGTGGACCCCAGGCCCCAGAACAGAGCCAGAGCACCACAAGCCCTCAGCACGTGCCGGGCGCACACACGAATGGGAACACGGAGGGAGGGGGGACTCTACAAAATAGGAAGCACGTTGCTGTCTCCATGTTTTGTGACTCAGGCAAACCTATAATGTGCATTTCCTTCAAGCAGGTCATAGAAAGGAGCCAGGGCAACAACTGCTCCACTGACTCCAATCACACAGGAAAGAACCCGTAGTCTCAGGCCCAGGCTTTGCAGGGCTGCAATGTGGCACTCGAGACAGGGACATTGACCTGCCACTTCTGAATATATCAGAGGTAGTGTTATTTCTGTTTGACTTTACCAAGAATATATATTACTTTTACACACACACACACAGAGATCCGCAAATCTCCATTCCTATTCCAGAAATTCAGATGCATTGTAAAAATATATAACATATATTTTTACAAATATATAATATATATTATATATTATAAATATATAATGTATAATATATAAAAATAGATATTTTTCTCTTGGTAACTGGAACACTGAACGTCAAACAGCATGGACTAGGTGGGAAGGACTGGGAGAATGATTCATAAGAATCAAATCTTACTTTGTATATTTATAGATTCATTAACTTATTTTATCTTCTTCTTCTTAGTATTATTATTTTGAGACAGAGTCTTGCTCTGTCACCCAGGCTGGAGTGCAGTGGCATGATCTCAGCTCACTGTAATCTCCACCTCCCGTGTTCAAGTGATTCTCTGGCCTCAGCCTTCCAAGTAGCTGGGGCTACAGGTGTGCATCACTATGCCTGGCTAATTTTTTTGTTTTAGTAGAGACAGAATATCACCATATTGGCCAGTCTGATCTCAAACTCCTGACCTCAAGTGATCTGTCTGCCCTGGTCTCCCAACGTGCTGGGATTGCAGTGAGCCACTGTGCCTGGCCTAACTATAGATTAATTTAGAATCACTTATAGCATATGACCTGCCAACTGTATCCAAGAGAAATGTGATGTATACAAAGCTTTAATATAAATATAGTGTTTGACATCTTATCCATGTCATAACAAATACATTTTGTCTTGTTGAACCTTCGGTTGTTACTTACTTTGGTAATGTTTAATCATGTCGCTGATACAGGGAAAAGTGATTCGTGGAGAGATGTAATAGCCCCCATTGTCCAAGCTTCTAATTTTGTAGTGCTTAATAACATCACCATGCACGGGGTCAAAGTCTCTGACAGACAGAGAGAAGCTTCCTACGGGGGAAAAGTGTAAGTAAATGTTTGTATCTCGCAAATAAGATTTGCATCATACAACCACTGCAGTACACACCTTGTGATAAAAATATGCAAAATATATACATGAAGTGTGTATAAAATGCAAAAATTTTTAAGCCCTATACAAATTCTACTTGACAAACGAAGCTGCCATTTTGTTTGCTGTGTAGCTGGCCAATATACCATTTTCTTTCTTTATGATAATTTTTTTTTTTTTTTTTTTTTTTTTTTTTTTTTTTTTTTTTTTTTTTTTTTTTTTTTTTT